AGGGGATCGTATTGGGGAGCCTTCTACCCACTTAAGACCGACCGATGTTGGTGGTGGGGGGGGGGTTGCAAAATTTTTAAAAAAGTACGAAAGTGACGGTTGACCCTGCCTGGAGCTCTGTGATATGTTCGGCACCAGTACTAGAAAATAGGTAACGTGGCGTGAAGTCGTTCCAACGCGAGCATCTGAGTGCGACAGCCATCTAACTCTCACTTTTTGCACCTTCGCTCAGTACCAAACATTCAGAGAATAAACTCACCGTTACGTATAGAAGTCGACACTATGTTCATTCAGAAATCAGATTCTCAGGTTTACAGAATGAACGATGAGACAATCTGGAATCCTTGGGTGCATGTTGAGTAGGAATCCAAGCTGTTAAAAGCTCACTAAATAAATTTTATCGTAAATTAATCTGTATGTTTCCTAACTCTCTCGATTTTGGCTCGATTCCAAGCCAATCAATTCCACATGATTCGTCAGCTGATTAGATGGTTTCAGGTCGATCAGCAATGCGAGTGGGTCGCCATACACGAGCGACGCTGTCCATGGATGAAGCGGCAGCGAATGAGCGACCCAGCCGGAAGATGAGTGCCGACGCCGTCAGCCGCAAAAGTTCATTCGCACATTCTCGAATGGTATGATTTCCTCTTTGTTGCTCGCGCGTGGACAGCCGTAGACATTATTTCGCTTCGTTTTCAGTTGCAAAAAGCCCGTCAGGACTATCGAATCCATTCAAGCGACGACGTCGACAGCCGAGGCAGTGACGGCTCGCTGAAGTGAGTTTCATTGCTGCATAGCCCTGAATGTTAGCGTGTTTCACATGCAAGCTGTGCAAGTGTTTTCACTGATTTTCTTCGGAATGCCCAGTCGCCTTTTTTATTACCAGTTCTTTCCTCTAGAAGTGGTGATCTTCCATCGAATCATTCTCATATTTTCACTTTGATTCGATTCATTTCGCCCGTCTTCACCAAATTCCTCACATCATCCACCGAATACTTCCCTCAGTCGCCCAGCTGCAATATTTTATAATCTATTTGGAGCAGAGGTGGCAAGTAGCGCCGCTTACCACGGGCGCGGTCCCAGGATCGAATCCTGGGCGCCATCGCGAGATGTGGGGGCACTGTGATGGCAATGCTGTTAAAAGCACGTAAAACATCTTCTTTTTGTCAATGAGGGAAACAACAAGGGGGGGGGCATGTAGCGTTTTTAAAATGATTTTTCTGAATGTTGTAGAGGCTCATGTGAGGAACACAGAACCATGGTCCATTTTTCCTGAACGCCCCAGGAATGTCAAAACAGCGGGGAAGAAATGGTCCAAAGTTCGATCCGATGACAAATTTTTGCAATTTATGTTGGCGCCTCCAAATTGCCGCAAAACACGACAATGACATCTATTCTCGACGATGGCCATTTTTGGCAATCTGGGGGCGCCAAACTATATTTGCAAAAATTAGTCATCACGGGGAACTCTGGACCATTTCTTACACCACTGTTTGGGTTCCTTGAAGGTTATAATCAACGGTTTAAGTGTTCGCTCGCATCAAACCTACAATTCAGATACATTTCCGAAGAGAAACGCGTCCATGCTATTATTTGTATGCTCAAGAGGGGAAAGATTCAGGTTTGAGCAATTTCATTTTCCCCACGAGTTCTGGCATTCCTGCCTTCGTTGGGAATGCCCCCTTGTCCTGCGATAAGGCGAATCCCAAATCGTGATCAGACCAACGGATCGCTTGCTTCCTCCGGGGTGTTTTGATTAGTGCAAACTTTGTCTGGGAGTAAAAAGCTGGCTTTCAACATCTGTTGGCCTTGAAGCATCTCATTGTAGGTCACATCGATTCTATGCAAGCTGGACTTGCATTTATAGAGACAGCGAGCTCCAAAAGGGATTGATCATAACGCGAATATTTATCTTATCGCTTATACACTTTTGACTGTGTTTGACGTTAAAGTGACGGTCTCTCGCTGACACCCACGCCATTGTCATCACGAGAATGCTTCCCTAAATGGCGTTAAAGTCCAACTTCGTCCCAACTTGGCTCCAACGCGTTCCCCACCTCCCAATGTGCAAGAGCTTTTTGATACAACCCTCACAGATTTTCAAATATTCAGAGATACGGCGATGGATGAGCCGTCCTGTTCCCTGGCTATTGACGATGGTGGAACTCGACGAGCTCGCTCCGTCACGTCAAGTCGAATTAGTCTCTTTTTCGCTAAGGTGAGCCCATTCTCTATATTTCATCGCATTATATTCCTAATTATCTAAAGCGTAAGAAGCTATTTATTACCGTAGTCCTTATATCTAATCGTCTTTCGCAATACTCAATAAGTGCTAGGAAGCTGACACTAGAGCCCATGCCGAATAGCGGGAGCAGCTACACGGTGCAGACCGCAGGCGACCAGCCACTGGCTGCCCATGAGGGCTATTTCTGCGCGCATTCCAACTGTTGGCCATTCGGCCTCGATTGCCCCAGAGCTCCACCCACAACCCCAGCGCGAGTTTTCCTTCTGCAAAGATTAACTTACTCATTACCCATGACCTGGGACTTTTTGGAGGACCTGACATAGCTAGTTGTTGTGGCATAACAAGGCCAAATTTGCGCCCGCAAAGACTATTTAGAGTAAGCCATACATTCATTTTTGTCATTTTTTCATACCGAAGTTCCGTGGTCAATCGGATTTAGCGATGAAATCGCAAACATTGGTGCGGCACCATTTTGGGGTCGTATTCCTCTGTTAACCGCATTCATGGCGTAACTTTTAGAATTGTATGCAGAAATAGAGAAATCAAAGTGAAAAACGTAAGAGCACGCCATGCATTCGTTTTTGTGATGCATCTTTCGTGGTCAATGCGATTTAGCGACGAAATAAAAAATTACCAGTTGGTCTTCAATAGCTATCAAAAACTCTTTGAATCCTTTAATTGGACCGCAAACCCACATTAAACTGATAACCAAAGTTACTGACTGGCAACAGTGTATCGCTAGACGGCCAGGTGATATTGCCCAGTGAAATTACGCTGTGTTCATTCAATGAAGTGAATTCTTGATTGCCGTGTTTAGAGTGAGCGGATGGATGCCCATTCGGTCCCATTGATTCGCTTTACTCGACCGCTCCTTACTTTTAGATACAAACTTTTGGATTCAGCCAGCTGTTTCTAGTTCTTCCGATTTCCGTGTTCCTATTTCCGCCGGGCTATCACTTCTCAGCTAGCGGCGAAACGTTTATTTTGGAGTGTCAAATTGAAGAACCACTTGAAACTCTTTGTTCTTCTCCGTTCCCAATTAGGCGAACTTGCGCTCACTTTTCTATGGTGTAGGTTCCCTATGGTGGTGAGTTCTGCTTATAAGAAGAATGGGCAACGCGATTCGAATTCCGAGAAGATCTCTTAAGAGTGAGGGATATTATGACTCAACCAAGCTTTATTGTGAACCCTCCTTGAAAAAATTAGAAGATTCTGCCGTGAATCGAGATCAGAACTATTTTGGAGCGGGTCAAGAGCTATGAGGACACCTAGGATCAGTCTACGGCACAGGCTGCATAATGTGCTCGTCGTATTCGTATGGGGGTGTTCTGTTGCCCAAACGGTTCTTAATTTGAAACACTTTAGTGAGCACAAGCGCGGCGTTCAATTTTACTGTTTTTCTACCATCAAATGGCTTTACTTCACAACCTTGGAAGCTATTTCCTCTCTTTCCCCTTTTCCAGCCCATCCGTTGATTTACCCAGCTTCACGCTTGGGCGGGCTTTGACTGGCAAAAGTGGTCGACTTAAAAAAAGTTTTTCGTTGTCAAAGTTCACATTGGATAGCGACAGTTTCAATTTTCACACAATTATAATTGCTTCGTGCGGTTATAATATTTGTTTTATATTGTATTGGCAACATAACGTGGCAGTAGCGAATAAATAAATATACCGATCGTTTCAGAGATTTTGTATGAAATTTTTGGATTGCCTGCGGATCAAGTGATTGATGAAGTTTTCCATGTTAATGAATGCAATCATTTGAATGTGCTGTTTTTACAGGAAAAAGAAATGCTCAACAAGCTGAACGAGATGAAAGAGCGCACGGAACCGCTTTCAAGCATTATCCCAGAAATCGAGAACCATTGGACGGACATCGTGGCCGATCGAGGGGTGAGTTATGAATCGTCTTCAGAGCTCTTCCGGTGATAAATAGTTTCTGTCTAGTACTTCCACCGTAAAGAATCTACTCAGCTGTACATGTTTAGTTAGTGCTTCGCGTGCGATACCAATACTTCAAGTTACTCTCAGTAGATCTTGTGGCGTTTGTTCTCCATTTTTTCTTTTTACTGTGTTGCGTCTCGCTCTCTTTTTCTTCGGGATTGTGCCGTCTTCCTACTCACTTGGGTGACATGTGTTAGTCGTTATGAAAAGGATAAATAAACCATAGCCTTAGACTATTGCGCACAATTTATGCTGCTCGAGAATAATATGAAAAACGGAGACATGAACTACTTCTTTTACTATACGTCGTTTGAATAGAAAATTGAAAAAGTACAAGAATATTCAAAACAACGTTTTCTCGTAGAATGGAAGGAATAGAATTAAAGAAAGTTTTGAGTACATTAAACTAATTCGATGATATTCTAAAAATGACTTTCATTATTGATCGAGTAGCGAAGATTATGAAGGAAAAAGAGCGCTACAGATGCCTGCCGAACATATGGATGCTGATCATGGGCGATAACGCTAACGCTTTTTATTTCGCCGAGTACAGTCCACCACCCAAACGCTTATCCAAGAAAACGACTTTACACTAGTAGTGCAACTGATGCCGTAGCGACTTGGATATGACAGCACGCCAACAAAAGCAGGAATAAGTCTAAGCCAATTGGGTTGTCCGGCTGAGAGACAGAGAGTTCGCTCACATCGAGCTCACTCGCCCCCTCCCTCCTTCTATCGTCAAAACATCAGCATCGCTAGAAAAACAGTAATACAGCAAAAGTAACTTTGAGGGTTACTGTAATCCTTTCAGTCTCTCTACGAGGAGACACGTCGATCAGCAAGAAGCGATTTGGGAGATTGTAACCACAGAATATCGATATATTCAGGTAAGAGCCTATGAGGAATTCCCAATTTTCCAAATCACTCACTAAGATTTCTTTAGGTTCTCAAAAATATGCACGATCTCTCGTGCTACTTCCTTGAGCTTCAAAAAATGGGCTATTTCAAGTGAGTGCAAGTTGTATCATTTGCTTCACCGCTAAGTTCTCATGTGACCGTCTAATTTTGTTTTAGGAAATCAGTATCTCACGAGTGTTTCTCAACTATTCCGAATTGTTCACCGTTAACGTCATTTTTTGGCGACGGGCTGTTCAACCATTACTCGACTACTCTAGGTACAACTTTCATTGCTTTTGATTGCATTTGACACCGTGATCATGTATCCTGTTTCACGCGATGAAATTGATCATGCGGGACTAACCATAACTGTTAACCCTAGAAAATAGTTTTTGGTCTCGAGGCATGTTTTTTACTGGCTGATTCAATCGCTTTCGTCATTTGTAATGATGTATCAAAGCATGTGCGCTCGACGCTTCAAATTGATTAGAACAAGTTATTCGATTTTTTGAGGACAACGGCCCTGGTGAGTTGGCTCCATTTGCGATCAGCGCAGCTGCGTGAAATCCCTTGTATGTTAAGAAAAGTTACTACGCTGGGGTTTCACAAGAGGGATCGTATTTTGCTACATGGGTTATTTTTGAAAAATTTGGGAAAAGGATTCTCAGGGAAATAAGCAGATTTTGCTGTTGCAGCAGCTTCACACATCATCCCCCTCCCCTACTAAATACATTTTTGGTGTTTTGGGGGTGTAGTTTTCAGTGTGCCAGGTGGTAAGGTTCTTTCAGGATCTATGGCTACATAAATAGGTGCCAAAATTAGAAGTAAAGGGGAGGGATATGGAGGATCTCCGGAAGGGAGTTGTCCGTTTTCAAAATTTTCCGATGTGACAGTTGACTCTGCTCAAAGGAGAGGCCTTTTATGAATGAACACTTTGTAGGCAAACTCGGAAGCCATTCGATCCTTTACTACTGTTGCATGGCTTCGAAGATATTAGCGAATGGTCGAAGTGCTACATTCCATTTAATCTTGGCCATGATGATAGCCACACGTATGTGCAGAAGAAGCAGAAGGACAACGAGATGTTCAGAGAGTTCGTGCAGGTGAGACCTTTCAGAATTAAGCAATCTTTGACGCACACAGAAGGTTTCCCACAGAACACTGCATGAGAAGCTCTAAAATACGCATTTAATCACGATCTAGCGCCAAAAGCCTGCCATGCACCCCGTGCAATACGCTTGATAGATGAATTTCTTCATCGTTTATGCTCAGTCGGATAATTCTTCAGCAAGAGGTGAGGAGGCGGGAGGGAGTGGGAGGGGACAAAATGTGCTGGACAAAATGTGGGTGATAACGATGCCTCTACGCATTTTATTATACTCCTCTTCACATTTTTTACCATAAAGATGCTATGTGGACGAGAGCAGTTTGCAACATTCCACAAGGATACGGTAGCGCTCAGTTTTGGGACTAAGCCTTATTGTTAGGAAGAGAGGGGAATCTCCTCTCAATCTACCGGGGTGTGTAAGCCACATTTCTTCCCCTAGCGTTGCTTCTAAGCTTAATCCTAGAGAATCTTGCTCCCCTAAGAATGATTATGGTGGTCGCCGTGACGCAATTTTTTGGACTGACTTGCCTTCAAGCCACCAGCGCGTACAAGTTGACGCGCTCGTGTACCTAGCCTCCTCTCTAGGAGGTTTATTTTTCCTCCGCCACACATGACTTCTTCTGATTCGAAAGAGTTTAAAGGTCTGTTGTATGAAGGCTACAAAGCACAGTCAACCGTTGCGCGCCTTTAGGAGGGTCTCCATGCGACTTCCCACCATTACACAGTTGTAGGAGGCTCCCCTTATGGACCCTGTCCCTCCCAAAAGTACTTCGTGGAGAGTTCGTCAAAATTGTTGAAAATCCTGTCAAACAAAACCCCCTTATCTACGCCGCGACTCCTTCAATTTCCAAAAATACGGCCCCTTTTCCCATTGGTGATTAACCCTGCTCAGCCCCAAATGCACCACTTCCTCAAAATCACAAATGCGACCCCTCCTTCGAATAGTGCGAACGGACGTTAGACCCTGCCACAAGGCCCTATTTCTTCTTGTTTTTTATTTTGTTAACTGCTATTTTTGGCCGCAGGTCTCCTTGCAAATGTTTTACAAAAATGCTGAGCTGTGAGCCAAACTTCGCGCTCAGAACGGACCGCGCTTTTAGAAAGCAAGGTGCGGATTCTCGTCTGGGGCGAAAGTTTTGTTCCCCAACCCAGCATTCTTGCGAAACTATTATTTCTTTTTCTTTCAGTGGGCGGAATCACAAGAGTCTATGCGACGGCAAAAACTTTGCGATACGTTGACGAGTCCCATGCAGCGACTAACTAGATACAGCCTCCTATTGAAGGTAAGTAATTCCAGTGAAAATCTCATTTTCATCTTGATAGAGTAAAAATGGTACTGTTCTTCAAAGATATTCCCGTTCAGGCCGTGCTATCAAATTCGACCGATGATCGGGAACGCTTGATCATTCAAAGTACGTTCTGGCTGATTTATTACATTATTTATTCACAGCTTTTAGCCCCGTTTAATGCGTTTATGTTTGTTTTGTTGTGATATTTTGTACTTTTCTTATTTTTGACATCTGGGCACTCTCCGTTTTTCGTACGCTGGCTGATGAGCGAAACAAACTGTCACTCAATCACAGAATTTTTTTGAACTATTGTCGTTAATATCCCTGAAGTCATTACAACAAATATATTTGACAATCTAATAGGTTATGGGTGGGGGAGGTAGGGGGATCCGCCAGCACTCTGCCTGAACCGAAAGAAAAATCACGCTCATTGGTTATAAGCCTTGCCAGGTAAGCTTCAAGCCCTGTTATGTACTAAAGGTGTGACGGTCACTTAGCCTTTTCAGAAGAGGTCTAGAACACTGTCCAAGAACAAGATGACCGTTTTAATGCTCTATGCCTGACACAGTGATAGAAATAAAGGATGGGCTTCCCGATTCGGATCCCGGGTGCTCAGGTAGACTGCTATAGAAACCCCCTAAACCTTCCAAGCGTCTTCCACTAGCAGTAGGTATGGGATTCACACTGGCACACCCAACAACATGCGCTGCCCAACTGGAGAGTTTTAAATAATTACCGCGTGAGCATATTTTCCCATGAACTCTATCAGCAAATCCAATTTTCACCCTCAGGAGTTGATGAAGCCCTTCATTCATATGTCAATATATTCTATGTCATACGTTCTACTCTATCCAGGATCGTAATGGCATTGAATGCGATTTGGGCTACACAATGACTTTCGGGACTTATTGATTGACAATTCAGCGTTTTTCTCTACAAGAAACTAACCACCCATCTTGGTCCGAGGAGGACGTAAAACTCGGTAGGCGTGGTCGGGATTCACCCAGGATTTGATCCCGGGGTTGAGCTGATGTGATTCATTGATAATCCTTTTTTTAATGAATCAAACATTTCCTCACTTCTTTGCTGAGTTTTACACTTTCAAACCCCGTTATTATGGAAGCCAATATATTTGAGCCAATATTTCGTTCTTTAGCCATGATTGACCGAACTGACGCTGCCACCCAACAGTTGAACTTCGAGCTGAATAACAATGATCTTCGACTACAGATGGCCGAAATTATGAAGAGTATTGATGGCTACGATGCAGTTGATTGTGAAGAATTCGAAAAGGTAAGTAGTTTCATAGCCCTGTCCGGACTTTTCTGGTGTTTCAGTTTTGAAAACCTTTCTTGCAGTTGTTCCCAAATCGCCGAGCTACGTTGGACTTGATGGCACCGATGCCACTTCTGCCTGGACCACCACAATTCCGACGAGTCATTCACCGCGGTAATCTGAAAATCAGAGAAAGTCGACAAGGACCAAAGGTACTGTAGATAGCTCTGAGTCTTTCTTTTCATTTTTTGTAGTACTTTTATGAATGGTAATTTTTCTGTCTGCTTGAGGGAACTTTATAATAATATAGTAAAATACAATATTTATTTATTCCAGGTGGAAATGCACTGTTTGCTCTTCACGGATATGCTCTTGCTCTGCAAAACCTCCAACAAACGAACCGATAAAGGCCTTCGGGTGGCCCGACCACCCATTCACATTGCTCATATGATCTATCACCCTTTCAATGATGCCAGTGAGTTATTAACAATTTTATCACTGAATTAATTTTTCCCACTCAAATACCCGCATTTTCTATCCTAAGCAGCAGCCAAAAATGGGGAGGAAAATACACTCCCAGTTCTCTGGGAAAATTGACTTCGAAATTTTTTTCGGTTAAAAATATGCCTTTGATATTACCTTCGTTCAAAGAAAAATTCAATATATTCATCTATTGTAATGCATTTTCT